TACAACAGCAATAGTCCCAAGTAATTTTGTCTATTGCCTCACTTTGGAAACTGCCCCAATTTAACACGTAACATGTAAAGTCGAGGACTAAAGACAATTTGCATGAGAGGGTCAAATTTGAACCCGGTTCTCAGCAGTGACAATGCTATGCACTTCCCTACCTAATCTCCCCACATCTTGATGTTTATTCTTTGTTCCTGCTAGCAATAGCCATGTTTCTGCATAATTAGGCCAGTTTGGTGCCAGTCTTGACTCAATGTTAACACTCTTAACTTTGAATCAGAAATTGCTGAAATCCAAATCCAATCCAGATATTACCCCATTAGTGGCTTAGTCACTGTCACCTCTAAAAGCAGCATTTTCATGCGAGCACCCACTGTTTTATGTGGTAGGCCCCTTTCACAAAGTAAATATGAATGGGTAAAACCCAAATTACCTTAAAACAGTTTAACTGGTTACTCCTGAAGAAACTGCAGTTGACCACTTCAGAAACAGCACGTAGTCCTCACAGATGTACGTAGGCTGTTGTCACCCCCAGCATTGCGTCTCCTACCTTTTCTAGCCAGGCAGCAGGACCTAACTACGAACTGACACAACATCTGAGCTGCCTTATATGGCACTGGTTTTTACTTAGCAATCTGCTGTAGGTAATTTGTTTAACTCACTGGTGACATGAAGATGTGACTACTGCTCGGGCGCATGACTGTTGCACTTTGCAGTCAACCACACAGGATTAACATCTATACCAATATTTCACTGCTAGCCAAATAAAGGTTATCAGGGTCAGTATTGTTGTATGAAAATTGCACAATCTAAAAATGGATTCCATTGAAAACTATTATCCCAATTGCTGTATTTCCTTGAGACTTAGCTTTGAAGTGTATAATATCTCGTATTTAAGCAAAAGTCAGTAGTAATTTGTTTTTATATAGCATGTTTAACATAGAAGACCAGTTCAAGCTGCTTTGTAGGGGCATAATCTACATAATGGATGCCAAGCTTTCTGCTGATGTTAGGGATGGTAATTTTCAATTTGACAATCAGATGACCAAATTTGATACATTTGTGTAATCATTTTCTTGTTTGGTACTAAAGACAATTCTACGGTATCTGTGAGAAGAGAAACAGAATTAAAGTTTCAGGTTGTGATCATCAACTTGAAACTTTAACTCTGCTCCTGTATCTTCAGAGATGCTGCCATGCCTGCTGAGTACTTTGAGTTTGTACTGTTTTTCAGAATTCCAGCGTCAGGTGTATTTTGTTTTGGCCTCATTGCTGTATGTTTTGCAGTATTTAAAAATAGGGCAACAGTGAATGGAACACAAATGTCTTCCTCACATCCATCGCCGGTGTTTTCTCAACAGGTCTGAATTATTAATCTTGGTAGTCGGAGCTCCCATCTGAACCAGGCAGGAAGCTCATGATATGTTGATATCAGGGTCATGTGATACCATTATGAAACTCATGTCATTTTCCAATCTTGCTGTCTGACTACGGTCATATTCTCATCAACCAACTATGGGCAGCCTAAGTCCTACGGTGGCCACATTAGACATGCATTAAAAAGGTCCTTGGGTAAAACTGTGTTGAACTTTGTTTCACTTGAAGTGCTTTGTGGGTTTGTTGGCAATATGAAGAAGTTGCAAGAGAATATTGCTTCATGTGTAGATTCTGACCTTTTAAAGCTTCTGGTGCTTCAGTTTGTTTACTAATCAGAATCTTTCCAGGAAATCCCATTCGTGGAGGGAAGTAGAATGAGTCAAATTATCACAGATAGAGAAAACAATATGAGATATGTTCAGACTAATCCTTACCCTTTCAACAAAGTTTATAGGCCCGAAAACACGTACTTGCAGTGATTTGAGATGCCATCCAGAAGCAAACTTCAGTTCTCCAGGGAGGCAGTGATTCAATTGTCATGCCTCGCAAAAAGCTCTGCCTCCAACAGCAAAGCTGGCACAGATTTGCCTGTTACAGTCAAGGTTATTTGAACTACTTTTCCTCTGGCTCCTTCCAAGCTGCCAGATTAGAGATCAGCAACATTAGTTAGTCTGCCATTCGTATTTGCATTAAGCAGATGACCAATGCTAATTTATTTGTTACCTTCTCTGCAAGCACCCTAGGGTACAATGATAGAGTTCTATTGTTTGCACTGTTCCAGGATACCCCCACCTAAGTCCAGCATTTCATCAATTGCACTCATGTCAATGTAAGACCCTGTCACCGGTTGAAGTGCATTTATAACTAAGTAATTGATGTGAGATGACCAGTAGAGCCAACTAATGTGGTGCTTTTGTGTTTTGATTGTGCCAATAGCCCTTCTACTATTTTCCCAATTGCAACTAGTTAAAGTGGGCTTCTTGCAAACAAGAATGGTCTGAGTACGCTTCTCTTGTGGTGTCACTTTAGGCTATGAATCTGCACTACAGTCAGATGCACAGGCCCACTGGAGCTCTCATTAGAGGCCATTGAGTCCTCAAACAATGCCTCATGTTTGAGCAGATCTGGTGGTTTCCTATGTTACAGTTCTGTTCTGTATGATCGTATAAATTTTTGTTGCAACAGAATAACTCATGGACCTATCACTGGGGAAGCACCAGCATGTTAAGAGAGAGGAGAGATAATTTTTTGAGGATGTGACCAGTAGAATGGACAAGGGTGAATCAGTCGATGTTGTGTATCTGGACTTTCATAAGGCTTTTAACAAGGTTCCAGACAAGAAATTAGTAAGGAAAATTAAAGCTCATGTTATCGGAGGTAATGTGTCGACATGGATAGAGAACTGGTTTGCAGACAATAAGCAGAGAATAAACAGGTCCTTTTTCAGAGTGGCAGGTAGCGACGAGTGAGATGCTGCAGGATTCAGTGCTACGACCCCAGCTGTTCACAATATACATTAACGATTTGAATGAAGGAATTGAATGCCGTATCTCCAAATTTGCAGATGACACTAAGCTGTGTGCTGTGAGGCAGACACTCAGAGGCTGCAGGATGACTTGGACAGATTGGCTGAGAGGGCAAACACTTGGCAAATGCAATATAATGTAGATAAATGTGATGTTATCCACTTTGGTCACAAAAACAGGAAGGCAGGTTATTATCTGAATGGTGGCAGTTTAGGAAAAGGTGAGGTGCCACGAGACCTGGGTGCCATGGTGGAACAGTTGCTGAAGCATGCAGGTGCAGCAGGCAGTGAGGAAAGCTAATGGCATGCTGGCCTTCATAGCGAGAGGATTTGAGTATCAGAGTAAGGATATCTTGCTGCAATTATACAGGGCCTTGGTGAGACCACCCCTTGAGATATGTGCAGTTTTGGTCTCCTAATCTGAGGAAAGACATTGAGGGCGTCCAGCAAAGGTTCACCAGACTGATTCCCAGGATGGCAGGACTGACATATGAGGAAAGACTGGATCAACTGGGATTGTACTCGCTAGAATTTAGAAAAATGAGGGGGATCTCATAGAAAAATATAAAATCCTGATGGGACTGGGCAGGCTAGATGCGGGAAGAATGTTCCCAATGTTGGGGAAGTCCAGAACTAGGGGTCAGAGTCTAAGAATAAGGGGTAAGCTATTCAGGACTGAGATGATGAAGAATTTCTTCACTCAGGGAGTTATGAACCTGTGGAATTCTCTCCCACAAGAATTTGTTGGGGCCACTTCATTAGATATATTCAAGAGGGAGCTGGACATGGCCCTTTGCAGCTGAAGAGAGCAAGGAATGGGATAATGAGATTGCATAATCAGCTATGATCGTATTGAATGGTGGTGCAAGCTCAAAGAGCCAAATGGCCTACTCCTGCACCTATTTTCTATGTTTCTAAAATGATGGATGCAAAGAAGCAAAAAGGCCCACTAATGTATGGTGAAAGCTTTTTATGGAAAAATTAAAAGGACGTGTCCCCATTTAATGGACGTGTAAACAAATGCCTAAATCCTTTGACTCTGCAGTCAACAGCATTTGTTCAACTCTGCGGTCAACAGCTCACTTCTTTCACTCTGTACAAGTCACTCATGCATCTACAAAAACCTTGCTCAATAGCTACAACATAGGTGGAGAGAGACTGCTGTGACTCACCAAGGACTCATGAGATCAGGGACCACGAGTACACTGTGATATGATTTTGTCCAGTTTCAGATCAACAACTTAGCATATGACAGGGCAGTCTGAATCACCTTACTAAGATGTTGTTACTGGTATCAGACTTCTACACAGTATCGATACCATATGTGAGAGCTGCTTGCCTTTTGATAAGTGGTCTCTGTTAGCAATATTTTGGCAGTAGTACAATTTGCAGACCAGTTATTTTTGCAAGAAGATTGGAACTAGTTTAATCTATATCGGGAGATGGTTTAACTTTGTGTACAGAGATAACAAGGTGTAGAGCTGGATGAACACAGCAGGCCAAGCAGCATCAGAGGAGCAGGAAAGCTGACGTTTCGGGCCTAGACCCTTCTTCAGAAATGCTCAGAGCCTCCCTCTCCCAGACCTGTAAAGGACTTCCTACTCCACTGATGCTGCTTGGCCTGCTGTGTTCATCCAGCTCTACACCTTGTTATCTCAGGTTCTCCAGCATCTGCAGTTCCTGCTATCCTCTAACTTTGTGTACAAGTGTGGCCAACAGGTAATTGTGTTGACTTGTTACAACTTTTGAGGATATGAGAAGCACATAGAGGTGGAATACTTGAGGAGAGCCATGAACTGTGGTTAAGTCTAGGATTGCTAGTATTTATATAATGAATTAAATATATGATTAGGTGATTATCGTTTAATAGTTATTAAATAGTACTATGTTAGTCTGTGTATTTTGTACATATTAGCACAGTATGATTTCCACTATGTTTAGATTTTGTATTTCCTGCTTATTATTTGCATGAGTTTCAAAGTGACATCTATTATGTTCCTTCATTTTTGCTCCTGATGACATAGCATAGCACTCCAGACATTCCACTGAAATTGTTTACACTGAAACAAATTGTTATTCCCGTTCTGTTCGACAGACCCAAGGATGTTAATTCTGTGAATGGAGAAAAGCATGTACGTGGGAAATCTTGTGGAAAAAGATCCCTGGAAGAGGAGGATGGGAATCTTGAATTACTTTCAAAGAATAAACAGAAAAAGAAAGCCCGAAACCCAAACAAAAGTTTTGATACCTCAGTGAAACGTAAGTTTTCCAACTTTGGATTTTAGCTCCCACCTCGAATCACCTTTGCCTTTCCTGAGTCCTTAAACATGCTGTCCAAATCCATGCCCATCTATTTCCAGAACTCCATGTTTGAAACCCTTTCAAATCTGTGTTCTTTTCTCCCAAAATGTACAATTTCACATTTATATTTGTTGAACTGCAGTTGCCATAATTGTTTCACCTTCCCATATCCTGTATGTGTCCTGCTTTCTTCCACAGCATTTATCCATGTATGGAAGACTTCCATTTAAATGCTTGTCAGTCATTAACACTTATGTTACATATCAATAGCAAGACTGACTGCATAATGCTGTTTTTATGAAGCTAACAAAAGCAGAGTAATTCAAATAGTGACTTCAGGATAATTGCTTTTAACTGTCCTTTCCTGAAGCTACTGTACCATTTCTGCAAGCTTCAGTAGCTTCACTGTTTTGACAGAGAAACCTGCTCTAATATATTACATGAAAAATTGATATTGCAGTGTGGAGTAGCAAAGTAAGATGATGAATGTTCATATTTATAACATTAGACTTTGGATCTCAAATTCTGTAACTAATTCACATCTGACTTCCATAGTTCAAAATGATGCTTTTGAACTGTTGGAAATTATGATATAATGGAGATGTTTAGTTATCATCAACATGATATATTAATGATCACTGGAAGAATTGGCAAACTGTTGTATCTGAGGTCTGGTTATTCGTTTGCAATTTAATTTTTTTCCATAAGTTGTGAAATTAAACATAATCATGATAAAAATTTGTTCTTTTTATTAACTTAAACTTTTTTTTGTTTTCAGCTAAATATGTGAAATGTGAACAATGTGGAAACCCAAAGGTAAATTTGTGCTTGTTCATGTGCTGTGCAGGTTCATGGACAGAATTTAGCCAGAATAGCCACTAATTCTGTAGAAGGTTTTGAGCCATAGTGGGTAGTGTCCCTGGCTCTGAATCAGAAATTTCAGGTTCTAAGTCCCACCCCAGGATTGGCTGGCCAACGATGCTATGTTCATAATGTGGCCAAACAGCGTGAATGTCACCTCATAAATCTTTCAAACATGTGCCAATGACAGGCACTTAAGAAAGGGAGAGACTCTTAGTCAGCCAACTATGGAAAACAATGGCAAATCAATGCAGTCACTTGCCCAGCAAAACTATAGACAAACACAGAAGTCCATGGTTATCAATGCCCTTTCACAACATGGTGCCTGAAGAGTGATACAATCATTAAACCTAAAATATGCCCAAACTGGTAAATTCAATCTGTATTGTATCAAGGAAACTGCAAGTTCGGTTTTCTTCTATTTCCTGTGCAAACCGCTGTGACCCATTACTTTAATGGAAACATCTGCTTGGTTCAAAACTGGAATTAAAAAAACTAAGGATGTGAGAAGCATCAGATCTGTTAGATCTGCTGAATGTAAACTTTGGAAACAGTGCCAAAACATCATAACTGCAAATGCCCTTCTTTGTTATAGACTGTCTAAGAGCAACAGATTAAATTTAACTTTGGTTTTCATGGGTGGTATTTTAAACATTGCAGTGTCTGTGCCATCTATCAGAATGTTTGTATCTTATTACCTTATTGCTGCAGTCATATTTTTGTGGCCCAGGTCTTCTAGTCTCTGGATGGTGAGAAGGGACTTCTCCGAAGTCCTGGTGCATGGACTCCACAGGAATCACCTGGCTAATGTAAATTTCTGCTGGGTGATTCCTCAGCTCCCCGGGATCCTACACAAATGATTCCAGCTCCAAATTAGAGCCTGAATCTTAGCAGAGTTCCAACTTATTTACCTGGATTGTTATGCAGGAAATATTAGAAGGATTAAGGTCATGTCTAATTCCTGGATAATTATACAATTGACCCTCCTAACCCCTCAAATCCTCCCAAACTCAGCTTACCCATCATACTGCCCTCATGCACTAACGCACCAAAAAGCTATTAAAAATGTTGCAAAGCTTTTCAGGATGCAGCAACTAGTGATGCAAAAAGAGGGGCACAGTTTGTCTTCTCTTTGACAATCCTGTGCTGTGATGGATTTTGATGGAAGTTTGCTCCTCATTTTGAAAGAGGCTGAGTTCAGAAGTCCTGCCAGAAATGTGCAGCTCTGACACTGGGAGCAGAGTGGCAGTCCTCCTCAAAAAATGAGGCCTAAAAGCTTGTGAAAATAACTACTAACCAACAAGGCAGGATATTCTTAACAATAAACCTTAGTATGAGCTCGGGAATTTGTTTAGTTTGATAACAGTTCTTCACATATTGTCTCCAGTGACTGAGATTGATTCTTTGGGAAATGGAGCCATTCAGACTATGGAGGTCCCACATTTTATCAATGGTCTGCACCAACTCAATTAACCACAATTAGCGTGACACGTGAGGAATTACAATTGCCCTCAGTTCTTCAGTTAGGGAGGGAAACATTAGCTAGGTTTTTTTAACCTCCATTTGCTAGCCAGTTACTGCTGCTTGAATATGTGGATAATGCATAAAGACAAGAATAATGGAAGTTTGGGGTTTTGCAAGAAAGCTGCTGGCACTATAGGGACAATCAGTTAGGAGTCAAGTGCTTCAGAACATCACATGAGAAAATGGACAAGAGGATATTTAGAAAAAAAAATTATAAACTTTTACATAACTGCAAATGTCTTTGACTCTCAAAAAGAAAACTAGAACTTATTACATTAAGCTTTGGGTGTTGAGTACCCATTCAGTAAGTTAAAGCATCTTATGATTGTAATTTTACTCTTTCATTAGAGAAGAGACAGTCATTTATAACATAGGGGCTGCACTTGGTCCTTGGTTTTGGCTGTGCTTTGGACACTAGTTTTCAGTGCTGTTGCTGTGTTCCTTCTGCTGCACACGATCTTGTCTATCTCTCCATGCTGAGTACATCATTCCCAATCTCCAAAGTTAAGTCTCACAAACTAACATTGCTGCTTCATTAGGTTTTTCTGATTAATTGATATGATAAGATTTCGGATGAGTATGGAAGAGGATAAGGAACAGTCCTGAGGAGGCGTAATCATCTGGAGGAAAGTTGAGGTGGTTCAGTGATTAGCACTATTGCCTCACAGTGCCAGGGACCTGGGTTCAGTTCCAGCTTTGGGTGACTGTCTAACGATGTGGAGTTTGCATGTTCTCCTCACATCTGTGTAGGTTTCCGCAGGTGCTCTGGTTTCCTCCCACAGTCAGCATGTGCAGGTTAGGTTGATTAGCCATGCTAAACTGCCCATAATGTCCAGGGATGTGTAATCTAGGTGGTTGTGGGGATAGGGTGGGGCTGCTGGGTCTGGGCGAGATGCTCATTGGAGGTTTGATGCAGATTCCTGATAAGCCAAATGGCCTCTTCTAACACTGTAGGCGTTTTTGGAATTCACTAGAGTAAGAATGGATCTTGGAGTTAAAAGGTGACAGAAAATACAGTGACTGAACAATGGGTTGCTGTCAAAGAAGATAAAGTTCAGAACTATTTGCTTGAAAGGCAAAGGTAGAGCAAACAAATCCACAGCTCCCTAAATGACAAAACAGATATCATGATAAAGAAGAAGTGTGCTTCTGAAGACATCCAGTACAAGATATAATTGAGAACCAGACTGAATACAGAAGGTTCAGAGGGAATGTACAAAAACAAATAAAAGAAGCAAAGAAGAATTATGCAAAGACTGGCAGCCAATAAGAGAGAGAATTGTAAGTTCTATTGGCAAATAAACAATTAAAAGGGTGGTAAAGTGGCTGTAAGGGGATTTACACATGGAGGCAAAGATGTATTTGAGTTACTAAATGAATATATTTTGCACCTATCTTTACCGGGGAAGATGATGCTAACTGGAACCTGGTGAAACAAGAGATAATTTTAAAATTAGGATTTAAAATTGATAAGGAAGGGATTGGATAGTCTGTCTGTATGTGAAGTTGACAAGATAGTGGGACTAGATATGTCCAAGGATACTGGGGGAAGTGCGAGCAGAAATTGCTGAAGTTTCTCAGGTTACGAGATATTCAGAATAGGTAGGAAAGAAGAAAAGGTGGAAGAGGTCACATTTTTAGTAAAGGAGAACATTGCAGTGCTAATAAAAGATATCCAAGAGGTTTCAAGGACAGAATTGAATTGCCTAGAGCTAAGGAACAAAAAGAGTGCAATTGAATTGCTCTGTATAATCAATAGATCACCAACTAGTGGAAACAATGTGGAGGGACAAAATTTTAAGGAAATTACCAAGGTGTAAACATCATACAGTAGTTATAATTAATTACCCAAATGCAGACTGGGTAATAGTTGTGTAAAAGACAGTGAGAGGCAAGTGTTCTTAGCTTGTGTTCAGGAGAATTTAGTACAGTGGTAAGTGTCCAGTCCGGCAAGAGAGGAGGCTCCAATAGATCAATAAGTTTGCAGGTGACACAAAAATTGGTGATCCGGTAAATAGCAAGGAGGAAAAGCTTAGATTACATGACAATATGAACAGGATGGTCAGCTAGCAGAACAATGGCAGAACGAGTTTCATCTTAAAAAGTGTCATTTTGGGGCATAGAATACAAGAGCAAGGAGGTTTGTATAATTCACTAGTTTGCCCTCGACAGGAGTATTATGAGCAATTCTGCACACCTCACTTTAGGAAGGATGTGAAGACTTTGGAGAGAATGCAGAGCAATTTATGAGGTGGTTCCAGTGTTGAGGAACTTCAGTTATAAAGTTAGGGTTGATTCCTTGTAAGAGAAGGTTGGGAGGAAATCTGATAAGTTTTCAAAATCGTGAGTGCTTTGGACATCATAAATGGGGAAAAACGTTTCCCACTTGTGAAACCATCAAGAAAGAACGGGCATAGATTTAAAGTAAAGCAAAATTTCCTTTAGAAAGTCTCAATTCACTGTGTCTCAACCACTTTGTCAGGAGGTGCGTTCTAGGTTCTTAGTTCTCACTGCGTGAAAAGGTTTTTCCTCATGCCACCATTGATCGTTTACCAATTACCTTAAATGTGTTCTTTGGTTCATGATGTTTCCGCCAATGACAACAGCTTCTCGTTATCTGCTCAATCCAGACCCTTCATGATTTTGAGCACCTCTCTCAAGTCTGCTCTCAATCTTCTCCAAGGGAAACAAAAAACTTTTTTTCACACAGCACGGGTTAAGATCTGAAATGCACTGTGTACTGGAAGCAGGTTGAGTTGAAGCATCCAAAACAAAATTTTACTTTTACTTGAAAAGGAATAATGTGTAGGGTTACAGGGAGTAGGCAGGAGAAGACATTAAATGAAACACTTATTTGTAATGCCAGTATAGACACAATGGGCCAAATGACTGCCTCCTGCACAGTGATAATTCTGTGATTCTGCTGTTATAATCTAGATCTGGAAGGTTGAAGTACCAAGCTTTTTAATTAACTTATTTTGATACATGGCCAAAAAATCCAATTTATTGAAGGTTAAAGAGACTAACTTTAATATTGGTCCTATGAACACAGTGCAAAAAGGGTTCAAGTCAGTTCACCTGATTTACATCCCTGGACGTTGGTTTGGAGAACAGTGTACATCTACCTTATTTGCTTTTTAAGCCATTGGCTTTACTTAGTTTCATGCGGTTAAATATAAATTGCCTGGTGGCATTTATATCAGTGGATCCTGGCACTCATGAACTTGCTTCTTAAGAGGCAATTTTATAAAGCTGTGCTGCTGACAAGAAGCTTCACTAGTTGATATTGCAATGAGAAAATTCAGACATGCACTGCTGTAATTTTCTGTCCTAATTTTCAAATGGCTGGAAAGCTTGGGCAGTTTCCACTTGAATTTCTGATTAGTATTGTCAGCGGAAAGTGCAGATCCTATAAAATTACTCTTACTCTTGCTTAGTATCATCATTATCATCATCATCATCATCATTATCATTCATATCGTTACTTGTGTGGAAATGGCAGGTGATCAGAGCAAAATGAACAATAATGACTCTGAATAATATCTTAGAATTAAGCGCATGATGTTATGAAATGGTAGGCTTGTGAGGACAGCTTATACTGTCTATGCTATAAACACATAATGATAAGGTCTCTTTTAACTCTACCTACAATGCAGTTAAATGTTGAATTTGCATTTTTTTTTACAAAGACTTAGTGTCTTGATATGACAACTTAAGATGACAAGCATTTTGACTTAATTTTAATGCCAGTTTGGGGCATAGAAGTCCCAGAGTCCTTTGTATCTGTCATTGTGGTGTGTTGATATAATTAATTTACCCATCAAAGGTGAACAAAAGGAGAAGAATTTTAATTACTAACCTTTGGTTGAATTACCCCCACACAGAAAACTTCTCCCCTTCAACCTATATCTCTTTCCTGTGACTTCCTCCAGCTGGTTAATAACTTATTCTGATATGAAGGGCAAGCTAATTTCAGACACTGAGTAATCCTGTATCAAAATTGTATGACTTGGCATTTAAAATTATAAACCACAACACTGTATCAACACAGGTACAGTGAAAAGGCACATCAGATGATGTGTAAGACAGGCAGCTGATTGCTGAAGTATGTTGCCCAGCTGACAGTCGAAAGTGACTGCATTATATTTTACTGAAGGCTATATATTTTTAGAGAAAAGAAGTGGAGAACTCTCGGAGTTGAATTGGCTTCAAACTTATGCACTTTGTGAACTTCGGTTCTACTAAACTAAGTCACTGTTGATGACTAATTAGCCACTGGCAGGAACCTGCCCAGGAGGTGAGATTCTTTCTGCAATGCATTAGGTAACTGCAGTCTACTGCTCTTACTAATAGGCTAGTCCTAGCTGGTCAAGCATCAGAAAGCAGTAGAAGCTCTTGAAGTATTTTTCCAGACACTTGGTGTTGCTGAACCAAACTACACTGAATTCACTGAATAGAGAAGAAATTCTTCCTCATATCAGTCTTAAATTGGCACCCCTCAATTCTGAGACTATGCCCTTTGGTCTTAGACTGTCCCTTGAGAGGAAACATCCTCTCAGCATTTACACTGTCCAGCCTCTTAGGAATCCAGTATGTCTCAATGAGTTCATCTGTCATTCTTCTAAACTGCAATGAGTAGGGTGATAACCCATTTAATCTTTGCTCATAAGACAATCCCTCCATACCAGCCATTTCCTAGTGAACCTTCTCTGAACTGCCTCCAATGAAATATCTTCTCCTAAATAAGGGGACCAAAAATGCTTGCGATACTCCAGATGTGGTCTCACCAGCGCCTTATACAGTTGCAATAAACCTTCCTATTCTTATACTCCAATCCCCTTGAAATAAGGGCCAACATCCCATTAGCCTTCCTGATTACCTGCTGCACCTATGTGCTAGCTTTCTGTGTTTCATGCATTGGTCTATCCAAGTCCCTTTGTGTTGCAGCTTTCTGCAGTTTTTCTCCATTCAAATGATGCTATTTTGTTCTCCCTTCCAAAATGAATAACTTCACATTTTCCCACATTATACTTCATTTACCACATCTTT